TCACACACACACACACATACACACACACACACACAAACCCACACTTAAACTCAGAAACAAACACACACAGACATCCACACACATAGAGCCAAACACACTCCGACACACACACAGAAGCACACAAACAAACACACATACACACACACACACACACACACACACACGTCACATACATACACACATACATATATAAAACGAACACGCACACACAAACACACAAGCACACAAGCACACAAGCACACACATACAAAAACATACACAGACATGCACGCACATAAGCAAAGAAACACACAAACACACAAACAAAAACACATACAAACACACATACAAAAACACACACAGACATGCACGCACATAAGCAAAGAAACACACAGGCACACAAACAAAAACACATACAAACACACAAACACACATACAAAAACACATACAAACACACACACACGTCACATACATACACACACATACATACATAAAACAAACGCACAAACACGCACACACTCACACAAAGACGCAAGCATGCGCGCACACACACACACACACAAACAAAAACACATGCACAAACAAACACACACAAACAAACGCACAAAGACACAAAAACACAGACAAACCTACACAAACACTTATAAACACACACACACACACACACACAGACAAACACACACAAACAAACACACAAACACACAAACACACATACATAAAAACATACAACACACAAACGAATAGAGAAGCACACACAAACACACACAAGCAAACATGCACACACACACAAACATGTCTCACATACACCCTGAACTAATGAACCACTGAGACTACAGATTTCCAGATATCAGCGGGCTGGAGAAGAGTGATAGTGGCTCACCTTAACCTCAGCACCATGTTCACAGCTCCATGGGCGCTCGAGGGTTTCTCCAATGGCTGAACCTGCACAGGAAAACAAAGCATGATGGGACATTACTCGCCAGCGCTCAAGTGTTCGGGATGTTGAGGTCAAAAGATCTTTAAAGCACACGCGCTGGAGCTTTACACACAGGTCTAGAGGAGGTCAGGGTTACGCTGGAGATCTGAAGCAGGAAATAACACTAGTCAACATGCATTAGGACTGATTCTTACCAGGTCTAGAAGATATTATCATACCACCCCAATTTTATCCTCCTTACACTGGCTGCCTGTTAAGTTTGTTTTGAATTTAATATATTGCTACTTACTTATAAAGCTTTAAATAATCCAGCTCCTGTTTATCTAACCAACCTTCTTTAAGATCTCAAAACTCAGGGCTTCTGGTAGTACCTAGAATAGCAAAGTCGAGTAAAGGAGGTCAAGCCTTCTCATTTATGGCTCCCAAACTCTGGAATAGCCTTCCTGATAACATCCAAGGCTCAGACACACTCTCCCAATTCAAACCTAGATTAAAGACCTATCTTTTTGGTAAAGCATACACTCAGTGCATCACTTAGCGGTATGATACATGAATGTGCTCCACACTGGTGTCTGCATCTCGTTTATATACACTATGAACAGCAGCTATGCTAATCATTCTCTTTATTCTCTATTTTCACCTGGGGATACTCATCCAGAGACCCTCAAACTACGCAGCGCCACTGATTTGATCCAAGACCAGCGACGAGATGATCCCAAAGTTTCCATATCCTGGACCAGGCCGTATCCTGAGTAGCTGCTCTGGTGGTCATGGAGGAGTGGAGAGCATGAGACTGATTCCTGTGATGCTCTGGGGACAGACAAGTCTTCGCTGAGGTCCAGCTTCCAGCATCCGGTGCCTAGACTGCAGCTCTGCACAAGAAGTTTGGCCAGTGGAGAAATGGTCGTGCCCAACTGAGCCTGATTTCTCTCGATGTTTTTTAACTTATCACTTTCGCCAACTGGTGAAATCTTTCCTCGCCACTGTCGCCACTGGCTTGCATGGTTCGGGATCTGTAGAGCTCTGCATCGATGGATTTGCTCTTCAGTGTTTGGACTCTCGGTCGTGACTATTAAACCACACCGAACTGAGCTAAACTGAGCTGAACTTAATCTCTGAAAACTGAACCACACTGTTTTAATTTACTATGATCTTCTATGTGAAGCTGCTTTGACACAATCTGCATTGTAAAATCGCTATACAAACAAAGGTGAATTTAATTGAATTAAACTAAAGAAAGACTAAAAGTGAATTCTCAAATTATTTTAATATATGTTTATTATAATATCGTATCATTGAGAATGGATATTTATATTTGACATTTGGACAGCTTAACACTCTCAAAAATATGTTAATGACAATGAAACCATTACAATTACTAACTAAAAAATAGTTTGGCATAAAAAAAAAATTGCAACAATAACATTTTTGAAAATGTATTAAATAAAAATGTAAGCAATATTTTACGTTTAAGTACTAAAACAAAAAAAAAGTAATTATTGAATGAAGCTAATAATAATTTATCAACACACACACACACACACACATACACACACACACACACACACACACATACACACACATATATACATATACTGTATATATATATATATATATATACACAAGTTTGGTCTAGTTCTCAAATCCGATTGGCTAATACCAGTGCGATATTCTGCAATCCGCTTGTTAAGTGTGACATCACGTGAAGCGGCTTCCGGGTCCAATCGCTCTATCAAACTGTATCGGGAAACTCATCAAATGGTAACAATAAACATTTACAAAGCGCTGAAATACTTTTGAATTTCAAATTCACGATCGCAATATATATATATATATATATATATATATATATATATATATATATATATATATATATATATATATATATATATATATATATATATATATATATATATATATATATATATATATATATATATATATATATATATATATATATATATATATATATATATATATATATATATATATATATATATATATATATATATATATATATATATATATATATATATATATATATATATATATATATATATATATATATATATATATATATATATATATATATATATATATATATATATATATATATATATATATATATATATATATATATATATATATATATATATATATATATATATATATATATATATATATATATATATATATATATATATATATATATATATATATATATATATATATATATATATATATATATATATATATATATATATATATATATATATATATATATATATATATATATATATATATATATATATATATATATATATATATATATATATATATATATATATATATATATATATATATATATATATATATATATATATATATATATATATATATATATATATATATATATATATATATATATATATATATATATATATATATATATA